CTTTCCACACCATTAGCCCGTCACTCAGCCGCAGCACGAATCAGTGAGAGTTGTCGGACTTGATCGGTAGGTGTGAATGCAACATCTTTATATCGGGCACGGTCGCCCTTTTGTGTTGCTAAGCGAGTAGGACAGTGTCCTGCCGTTTTGAATTTTGTTCTTCAATACAAGATTAATTACATAAAACAATTTTTTTTGCCAAATGCTCAACAAAGATCGTTTGTGTTGTTGGGCTAGTGCCTGGAACTTTGTCCTGGTAAGTCACATGGATAGAATAATTTCTTAAAGTGGATGAGTGTATTTTAATAGTAGTATTGGTGTGTGAGTGTGTGTGTGCGTGGCCATGTGTGTGCAGTCGTGTTGTGAGTGCGTGCATGTGTGTGTGTGTGAAATTCACTGCAAATGCCAAAGGATCACACAGCCAAAATAAAAAAAACCATTACTTGCAAAGCCAACAATGTTACATTGCTCTTCAACAATACACAAAGGCACGGCGGATTACTGCACAATGCAGACCTGTGCTGTAATAATGAAAAGAGGTGTTGACTTGAAGTCTTCACTTGTTTGGATGATTGATTGAATGAGGAATGCTTAGCGGGCCAGCTATAGAGTCCACCATATCCTGGGTAGCCAAGCACACACGTTAGGCATTTGCCGTCGCAAAGAATGTCATCTGACATAAAGGTAAAGAATTCCTAGGCTCGAGTTCTTTTCAAAGCCCAAACATTGTGACATTTAGTTTGGTCATCCACGCTCGTGGCGAGGAGGCTGTTGTTATTGCCTCCATTTTTCATGTGGGAACAAACGCCCCCTTCCATCTCCAACGTCAATTTGCGATCCGGGTCCTCGAATTTTCCGAGGGTCCCAGCTGGCAGACTGATATCTGTCGACGGTGAAGCCCAAAGCCTCGCGTTGCCCATTACGCCAAATATATCGTGTTGTATATCGGGGGACCCACAAACCACACGCCTTCAAGGCTTCCTCACTGCTCACCAGACCAAGACCTTATGAAGCCACCATTCACTTGTAACCTGAGCAGGCAGCTGGCTGCGTGCAAAGCAGGTGCAGACAGCAGGCCCTAATCCTTGTAGTGTGGATTGTGTCCTAAATGTTTGCTTTCACTTGGGAGTCCAGTATCACCTTTATCTCTACCTGGATCATGTGTAATGGTGATTAGGGCCGGATTAACGGAGGGACTTTTAGGGGCTGCAGCCCAGAGTCTTTGATTTTGAGGGCCCTGTAAGAAAGTATACACGGTACCACTTTATAATGGTTGAAAGGCAATCCTGTCATTCAAGCCATCGCATCACGATGTGTATTACTACCAGTTGTGTTGACATTAGAAGAGTTTTGTTCGTTTTAACTTTAACTTAGCTTAAAAATTCGTCATGGGACCTCCTTTGCCAGTACCAAAATATACTAATAGGGATTTTCCCCTTTTTTCTGGCAACAAAACTGACACCTTTTGCAAGGAATCATGCTTACATTAACCACAATACTTGCAGTCAAATGCAAACAAAAAACAATACTCTGATAATTATTGAACAATACTCTGATAATTATTATCAGAGTATTGTTTTTTGTTTGCATTTTACTGCAAGTATTGTGGTTAATGTAAGCATGATTCCTTGCAAAAGGTGTCAGTTTTGTTGCCAGAAAAAAGGGAAAACCCCCTATTAGTTAAAAAAATTCGTGTATCTCACTTAAATATTTGCAACTGAAATAACCGTGTTTGTCATTGAGCATGGGTGATGGTGGAACAGGTCAGGGGGAAAAATCAATAGGCAGAGAGGGGCCCCGAAAAACTATGCCAATCCTGGGTCCCCATCAAACTTGCGCTGGGCCAGGTTGTGATATTTAACACGGCAGGTTTTTCTTCTTGGTTCTTTCGGTAAAGTCACGTAGAAGGGAAATAATAAAAGAATAAAAATAAAACATAATAAAATAGAATTATATTATTTTGTTTTTATTTTATTATGTTTGATTTTTATTATTTTATTATTTCCCTTCTACGTGACTTTACCGAAAGAACCAAGAAGACGAATCCCTGCAGTCACGAAAGCTTTAAATCGAAATATAGCAGTTTTGTTAGAGTGTAACTACCATCCCCTGTGAGCTGCTGCACAAACTAAGACAGGAGGATTTTTTTATTCGGTTTCCTTTATTCGTGGTTTTTATTTGTTAAGGGTTTTATTCAATTGTATTCATTAAGGGGTGTGTCAAGCGTTGGGCTGTGAGCCGTTGTGTGAATGGGCCACTGTATAAAATCAAGTTTTAGTTAGGCAAGAATGTGGGTGATGTGTGACCACAGGACACGTACGTGCCGCGTTCGTGTCTGTGTGTGTGTGTAATGAATTCAACGTGGAGTTTGTCGAGTTGGAATATTTATTTATTTTAGAAATATTTGGTCACTTTACAGCAGTCCTTGGGGTTTTATTGTTGGAGAACCGTTTCAGGCACGATTTTTTTTCTTTCCCAAATCTAAAAAAAAAATAACATGAAATAAATCACGTTTTTTGGGATAAAGGCCAATGTGTATGTTCAGCCAAAGCAACATTTTCCCAGACTTCTTTCCAGTGAGGCCACGGGAGACTTCGCTAGCACACCTACATTACTACTTTGCCATTCCACTTCTCTCACAAGCGTGTTCTGTACTGTAACAAAATGGCAATGGTTCATCGTTAACTGCAGAGGTCACACTGGATTTTCTGTCCGCTGTATAAAAAAAAACGAAATCAACATTTTGTCTGAAAACATTATTGAAAGAGAGAAAACATTGATTATTTTCCCACGAGAAAGCATTACCCAACTGTTGTACTTTCACTTTTCTCCTTTTTACTTGAAATCCAGTTGGAACACAATTTTCTTTAAAAAGTGTTTCGCAGAGTTGGCTTAAAAAAAAAGTCGTTTGCAGCGGTGTAACAGAATCGGCCGTGTTGGCCGTGACAGGCTCTGTAATTTGCCAAGTTCGGTACAGGGTCACTGTGAATGGAGCCTCTTGTGGAATGTGTTCCACAGAACCAGCGCGCTCTGCACCGTAAATGTCCCCAATTTTCTGAAACTCTCAGCTCACTGGAGTATACCTAACTACCCCTAGCTGACGGTTGTATGAAAGCAAATTTAACGCTACACAGGTGTCGGGTGGTGACGGGTTTAACGACAAATTTATATTTACGCGATCTAACCCAACAACAAAAAAACCTGTTATGGACTTACATTGGTATCGATTAAACTTTGTTTTTCTTTCCACCACGTACATTCGGTAGCATGTTTAATACATGTTCACTTAGCTGCTTGTTTTTTTAAGCCAAGATTTCTGCTCGGAGTTTGTGCCGTGGGCCACCGCGTGCACGATCCAACAAGTGTCGTTTGACGTTATAAACAATCGGCCTTTCGGAGTCGTCACCTGGTTTAATGAAGACTTTTGTGACTCGCCTCGAATGCGAGCCTGGGTTTCTGTGCATGGGGCATGCGTCGGGGGGGGGGGGGGGTGAACACGGAACTCGGAGTGGATTCTTGTGAAAAACTATCCGACTCATTCAGTGGCCCATGCGGTGCACACCAGAAAAGGTCGTTTTTCGAAAGCCGGCCGTCTGGTTTAAGTGACGACGGGCCAACAAGGCCGAGCATTGCGGCATCCCTGAACGCAAGGGAGACGTTCAAATGTTCTTCACCGCAAACATTCGGTAACTTCCAGGTGTAAAGCATTTGACCGTGCCATCTTGTTTGTTTGTACATCCTAACACTGCTTATAAACGCATTACCTGGTTTATTAAAAAAAAATACGAATTTCATACCCCAGGAAATATTTAATTGGTGACGATAAACCCATGATACGTGACACGGTTTTGCAAAAATATTTCTGTATATATTTTATACACACTTTGAGAAGAGCTAGAAGCCGTTAGATAAAGTCATTCAGCCGTCCCAGGTGTCCCGGACAGGAGGGGGGGGGGGGGGGCGTGTAGCATTTCCACCGTCGCCGAGAGCACCAAAACCTCCCCCTCCTCGTGTGCGTGCCGGGGGTGACGAGCGCACGTTCATTCAAATATTCATGGCGCCCGCTTGACTCTTTCCTTTCTGTGGCGCGAGCGCGAGAAGTGATCCCGGCGCGTGGCCTCTGAATAATTTAAGGGAACTGCTGCCTCGGGGTGGGCGCGTGGTGTCCGTTACGCCCCAGGCAGTGGGTGGAGAGGGGTGTTTGGTTTGGGAGTGAGCGAGTGGATGCACCTTCGCGTGCGTTTGCATGTGTGTGCCCGCGCGCGCGCGCGTGTGTGTGTGTGTGCCCATGAGGCTTGTGCCAGTTATTAGCGTCTGTTGCGACTTCTTGGCCTTTGTTGGATGTCTCACTTTGCTGCCTCGGTTCAGCCGGAGAGCAGGTTTGCTGCTGCATTAAAAAAAATGTTAAGGATAACTTGGCCAAAACTGTGGTATTGTTTTGTAGGAATTGTGCTGTTCTTCATTGTGTTTTCGTGTTCGTATTGTTTGTGGAAATTTTGGGGGGGGTTTTTTTTCCCTCCAAGGAATTTGTCTTGTTTTGTATACAATGGGTTTGGAGAGAGCGGACAGTTTTTACTAATCTCCGTCAACAATTTACACACGTGTGATAGGAGGCTAATGGGTCCACGTTTCTTCACGTCAGTTTTGTCTTGGATTGAGACGTAATTTGTTACTTGACTATGGTATTTTATAGCCGAGTATGAGTGTAGTTAAATAAATAGTACCACCGTGGTTACATTTCTAATGTGAATACGTTTAGAACTGCGTACGTCAATAATAACCAACGGAGCGTTTTGATTCCAATTTAAAATGAGTAATACATTGTTGAACGAAAATGCATCTTGACGACTTAAATTTTGTCAGCGAAGCTGAGCGACCACAATTTCATTCAGTTTTTTTTTGTCAGGGAACTGTGTATGCTTCTGATGATTCAGCTCTTGGCCTTCCAGGAGCACGCGAGCACACGTGATGACAGCTGTATTTTTCACACTCTCGTGCAGGTGCCGTCGGCCAACATTCGAGCCCGAAAATAATTAACGCCTTGTGAGGACAAGCGCAATTCAAACGGGAAAAGCGGTGAAACAAGGAAAGCCGTTGAGGAGGAGGAGGAGGACGAAAACCAGAGGACGACCCAGCCTCCTTGCGAGACGCCCACTGCGGGCAGGAGTTGAGGCTCCTTCCGTGCATCCCCGAGATGCATCGCTCTGGCGCATCTCGCTCCAAGGAGAGCGGCGCGCCGCCCAAAAAGAGCAGCATGCTCAGCAGCCTCCTGCAGAAGCTGCACCTCGACAACCACGGCTCGTCCTTCAACCGCAGCCGTGGCCAGCAGTCGGGCGGCCTCGGGCGGCAGCTGGACCTGCACCGGGGCCAGGATCCCCCGCCCATCTCGAGCGTGCTCAACCACAACCTCCTCAACCTCAACCAGTTGCAGTCGGGCGCGCTCAACGTGCCGGGGCAACCGGGCAGAGGCGGCGGTGGAGGCGGCGGCGGCGGGGGCGGCGGCGGCGGCGGGGGCGGAAGCGCCGCGGTGATCCAAGGGCACCACCCGCCCTTCTCGTGCCCGCAGACGCAGGCCGGGTACCCGTGGGGGCTCGACGAGTGCTTCGCCGGCGACGTCGCGAGGCCGCGCAGCTTTAGCCAGTCGCGCCAGCGCCTCTGCCAGGTGCAGCCGCTGCCCGACTCTGGCCCCGGCGTGCCGGGGGCTCGGGGTCGGCACCAGCGCTCGCACAGCTCGGGCCAGCCGGTGCAGAACCTTGTGCAGATCCAGCAGAGCAACCAGAGCCTCTTCGGCGGGCCCGCGGTCGCCTCTTGCCAGGGCTCGCAGGCGTTCGTGCAGGGCCACGGCATCCAGTCCAACCAGAACGTGAAAAAGAGCCTGATGCTCCCGCTCGCCGTGAACCTGCAGGGCACGGCCGTCGAGTTTGTCGGCCCGCAGAGGCCGAGCGAGCGCTCCCAGAGCCCCCGGCGCTCCAACCAGAGCCAGAGTCTGCTGAGCCTGCAGCAGCAGCAGTTGCAGCAGCAGCAGTTGCAGCAGCAGCAGCTGGTGCATGGACCTAGGCCCAAAAGCCCTTCGAGTCAGGTGGCGCAGAAGCTGTTTGGCTACGGTGAGGGGAGCGAGCGGCAAATGCTGGACGACGGGGAGGAAGAGGATGACCCGGCGCCGCGAGGCCACGAGGGCTTCCCGCACGAGAACAACAACGGCGAGGAGGCGCGGAGGCAGAGGAGGAGCCCCGGCGAGCAGAGGCCGCGGCGGCTCACGCACGGCCGGGCGAGCGGCGCCACGACCTCTGCGGCGGTGGCGGCCGTGGCGGCCCAGCAGCGGGTGGCCGACGACAAGGAGAGGGAGCGAGAGCGGGAGAGGGAGAAGGAGAGGGAGCGGGAGAAGGAGTTGGAGGAGGCCCGCACGCGCGCCATGCAGATGGAGAAAACCATGCGCTGGTGGTCGGACTGTGCCTCGAGCTGGCGCGAGAAGTGGGGAAAGGTCAGTCGCGTGTTTGTCCGTGGGGTTTTAGTTGGTGCTGCAAGGCTTCTGGGCGGCCTCGTACGCTGTCATTTGGAATTTTAAGGAAGTACAGTCAGTGTCACCACGTTCAAGTAAACATAAGGCTTACCATTTTGGGGAGGGGGGGGGGCGAGATATGTGACCGTACTTCACCACGCCGGTCAACGCGGATTGGTGAAAATACTCACCATGAGACTGAGCGATGGCAATGGCTTGGGGAGACCTTCATCCAGCAGTGGATAGGTCGTAGCTGATGATGATGAGGATAACGATGATCGTGACAGCAGTGGCGGTAGAAGAATATAGAGGCGGCTGGGGAAGTGTGTAGCAGGTATAGCCGGTGTTTACATTGCATAGAGAGAAAACAATTTCTGCTGCACGTCGTGGCTACAGTACTATTCTGGCTGCTGTTGATCTCAGATTGTCTGGAGGTGATGTGTGACAGGGATGGATCGGGGGTTAGGTCTTGCACTGCAGACCACACATTACACTTTTGTCTAAAGACAGTGACTAAATGCTATGTTAGTCAACAAATATGACTAATACCCGGATAATTATGAAGTACGTTCGATCATTATTTGGTCCTGAACGTTTTTGAACTCTTTTTTTTGCGTGCTATTGACGTCATGTCAAAAAATGATGAATCTATTGGGAAATGTCACAGAGGGCTGTGTGCCAGGGAGCGGCCCGCAGAAGACATTATCTCATTAATTCAAAAATATCCTTAAAATAGCCATTTTATTATTTACACAGTCGTGGTTACACCTCCCTACGTGCTCTGCTATGAGCCCGTCGCATGACAGCCAAACCAACGGCATTCTTGCTTGAAATCTCAAAGCTGGGATTTTGCGAAATAATGTGGACATTTATTTTAATGGGATTTTTGTTCGTGCAGTCATCGGCGACCGGGCTGAGGCCATCAACTCGCTGCACTTGAGAAGCCACTTTTAATAACGGGTGGCTGCTTGCCATTGAACCCAGGGTCTCGGCAGTGCAGGATCAGTGGTCTTGACTTCTGAGCAATACAGCCGTCTCTGTATGTCACCCAGAGTATCGATGTGATCCAGAGTGGTGCTGCTGTGCACTGACATTTGGGTACGGAGCCAGAAATGCAAATGCCATATTTCTGTGTTTGGGACAGACACACGCATCCATATATAAAACTAACTAAACAATTTTATTTTATCTTCTTGGTTCTTTTGGTAAAGTCACGTAGAAGGGAAATAATAAAATAATGTTTTATTATTTTAATTTGTATTATTTTATTATTTCCCTTCTATGTGCCTGTACCGAAAGAACCAAGAAGATGAATCCCTGCAGTCACGAAAGCTTTAAATCAATATTTTATTTTATTTAAACTATATTTTATATTTTACTAGGTAAGGCCCAGTGATCTATATTGTTATCTTTTCAAAAGCGACCTGGCCACAGAGAATAGCGCAATTAAGTGGCTTGTCATGTGGAAATTTATATCAGCCAAATACTCTAAACGCTTGTTTCTAAATGTGGAGGGAAAAACCGGAGGACCCGGAGAAATACCTACACGACCAAGGGGAGAACATGCAAACACCAAATATATATGCGTCTGGGTCGGGATCTAACCCACGACATCCTGTATATCAGGTAAGGTAGTTAACATCTTGCCACCATGGTACCTTTATCTCTTCGTAGCGCTGCTACTGTTGACTTCCCACCAGATGATGCGGGACTCGTCAGGCAATCCGCATGTTCCCGGACACGGAGGGATAGTAGTTCTTAGCTTGTAACAATTCACCGCATTTACATTACGTGCGTCAAACAGTGTGTTAATAAATCCATCACTTACGATGCATGGGACAAATATCTAAATATATGCGAGTGCATATATTTAGATACAGACTGGACAGGCCAGACAGAGCAGATGAGACGGACAATCAGACAATACAGATGAGACAGAACAGATGGGACAGAATAGGATTGATTTAATCAATTTAATATTTAGGTGGAGACAGAAAGAATAATTAAGGACCGGTGTGTGCGAGTGAAAAGTAAGGGTATTTAATTGTAAAAGTATTTCCCTTAAGTTGCGAATAGTTTTTTGGATGTAAATGATGTGAATTACAGGAAGAAACCCATCAACAAAAATGTGTTCACCATTATCTAGCTCCGTGTTGCAGTTGAAGTGTAAATGCAAATTGCACGAATTGTGATGCTTCACTGTTCACAAAATGTTGTGTTTACAGCTGACAATTACCCCGAGCAAAAATGTAAACCCACACCCTGGAGACAGCCTCTCCATGTAATTGCTGCGCCTTGATCACGAGCCACATTTTAATTACAGAAAATCGCCTTCTCCAAAAGAAGCGCGAACTGACTTGACGCTAATTTAATAATGACAGTAACCGCAGGGTTTGATTTTTTTTAATTCACACGTGTGCACGGTTTGTGATGGTGTCAGTCTAAACAACGTGTTCGGTCACATCACTTGGATGTGAAGTCTATGAAGTGATTTAAGAATCTGCGTGCGTGTGCATGCTGACTCACACCAACTGGGTCTGTCCCGTGTCCTCCTGCCAGCGAGCCTTCGACACTTCACGTGACCTCAAACGTGCACCTAGCCTGGCACAAGCGCCGTGGTAACACCACCGCCACTTAGGGGCGAATGGCGGTTGTTGACTATATGAATTCAAATTGGTGAGCCTGTGTGGCATTTGTTTGTTGTTGGCACTTTCTCCAATGACATTCCAGTTCTAATCGTTGTCATGTCTTAAGACGCAATAACTTTCTTTCAGAGTTCCCACAGAGAGCGGCACGCCGCCTGGATGTCGGAGCAGTGGCTCCCATCCCCTCTGGGTCTGGGAAACACTGCCAGCCCTCAAATTGTTATTCACAGACCACCGTGCAGTTAACAGCAGTATCCCAGCAAACGTGGATCGTTGGTCCAGTGGTTTTGAAGCACATGGTTAAAGTTGGCCGAATGTTGAACGTTTACTGGGATGGTGTTTTGTGAGACAACGTCATACCTGCACGACGGCCTTGCGGACCGCAGAGAATCGCCCGTGAAGATAACATTCTGAATTCCTTCTGCCTAGCGTCTTCGTTGAATGTCAAAAAACGTTTCAAACTTCAGAGCTAGAAAGAGACAAATGAAAATGAACAACTACTATTTCATACAATGGGACCCTTTATCTTGACTTAAAGCGTTCGTGACTGCAGGAATTCATATTCTTTGGGTCTTTCGGTAAAGTCATGTAGATAGGTTGAAAGAAAATAACAACAAAAATAACTAAAAACTACGACGTTCCGATCACAACACAAGCGATCGTCATTGTCTTTTTTCCTCCTGATGACGATCGCTTGTGTTGTGATGGAAATGTCGTAGTTTTTTGTTATTTTTGTTGTTATTTTCTTTGAACTTATCTACGTGACTTTATCGGAAGACCCAGATAATTTTCAAATGGAACCTTTTGTTTTTGTTGTGGGGTCATTGGTGCCAATGCTGCAACCGTGAACTCACTACGACGTGACGACCCAGTTCAATCACAGCTTTGCCAAAACATAGAATTCGAACCAACTGTCTCTGTAGCGCTTGGCTCGGTGCCCTCACATGAGCACTATCCCCCCCATATACCCCTCCGCCTCGAGCCACATGGCCAGACCTCCATTTGCGTTTCCCTCCACAACCGCAGGCGCGCACGGAGAGAAACGAATCGCGGGACGAGAACCGTCAACTGAAGCAGCGTCTCGACGGCCTGGAGAGGGAGCTCCACCAGATCCAGATGGAAAAGGACCGGGCCGTCGGCGATAACCAGACCCTGCGGGAGCACCTGGAGATGCTGAGGGCCTGCCTCCATCAAGCCGGCGTGCCGGACCCCACGGTGCGCGACGTCGACTCCCCCGCCGACAGGGAGGCGGGCAGAGGCGCGGACGTGGAGCGGGAGAGAGGCAGAGAGCTGGAGAGGCAGCTCCAGGCGGAGATGGAGCTGGAGCTGGAGAGAGAGCGAGCAGATGGCTTCATGAGCAAGTGGGGGCAGGTGCCGGGGTTGGCCCGGAGGCCCAGCTTCGGCGTGGAGAAGGAGGCAGCGCCACGGGACGGCATGCCAGGCGATCACCTGGCGACTCTTCTCTGCCGCGACGTGGGATCCGCCACCGGGGCTCTTCCGGTGCGGCGTCTGTCAGCTGCCCTCGAAATGGTGAGTGTGACAGGGTGAGGCCCACCAGCGTTGCTGACTCTGCGAGATTTTTCCATTGTTTTCTTCTTGTATGTGTGTTGAACTTCTTTCACACCGTACGTAGCCAACAGTGCTAATTGAAGGTGCGGGGGAAGGACAACAAACGAAACTCAAAAAGCATTTCTAAAAAAATCAGTTGTCAGTCTGCACGTGAGCGTTTCCACTCAGTTCTATCTCAGGCTACGTTCCTGGATTGCTAAGAGTTCCAGGTCTGTCCAGCATAAGATGTTGTCCAAACCTCTTGTTCTGGTTTATCCTCTACGTATTGATCTTTGGGGGCACTTGCTTACCATGCCATCCTTTGTGACCATCTACCATCCATCATTGTTCCACGATCAAAGTCATCATCAGCATCATCAGCCATGATCACTGCTGGATGAAGGCCAGTCCCCAAGTTATCGCCCAAGTATTGTACACAACGAGTGTTGTACTTGGTTGTTCCTGGCGCGCCTTGAAAATGCAATGGACGTGAGGTGAGTGTGCGTTGTTACATTGTCTGTGGTCAAGGATGTGTCCCTCAACAATGCTTGAAGTCAGCGGACATGCACCGGTGACTGCCGGGTAGGAATTCACAAAGGTGTTGTATCGTGTTGTTAACGTATATAGCCATATTTCCATATTGATGTCATAGGTCACCAAAATAGATTTCCTTTATTTTGGTGATTGGAAGTTTTTACAAAAGTCACAGAATGAACAGAATTGCTGTGTGTCCTAAACGAGATCCGAATAGATGAAACTCCTGCGCCGTGCTGGCACTGGCGCTGAGATGGAGCGATTAAATCAGGGCACATTGAAAGTATGAGATTCGTCACGGCTGCATTGAATAAAGTATGGTGATGCAAACAAAATGGGGGGGGGGGGGGGGGGCAGGCCTTCGACCGACAGAGACTAAAAGGCCGATCGTTATTCGTATGTGGTTTCATTTGTATTGGGCCACAAATATCTACGAATCGAAATGTATGAGGAGCAGTCTGGATTATCCTAGTAGCAAAAGTAGCTACATGTGTAGTAGCTACAACATGTGTAGTAGCTACATGTGTAGTAGCTACGGGCCCCGCACTTTGAAGGGCCACGCGCTAAATGCTTTCAAGCTATCAAATTCGGTTCAGTGATTCTGCATTTGCTCTATTACTATAGTACTATACTGCCTGCAACTTTTATGAATGACTGGGTGTTGAAGGTTAGCGATTAGTCGTATTATCTGGTTGTATAGCAAAAAAAAATACAATTACTTTACAATGCAAGTAAAATATTCGTGTTTTTTTTTATTTAGGGCCCTTTTATAACACTAGCTTAACCTGGTACTGATGAGGAGGCCCTCGTCCAGAAATGCATTGGTAAGAGGCTGTCCTTTTACATGTGCAGCATTACACGGCGATAATGCAGATTGCATGAACAATGTGTGCAACATGCAAATCAAAATAGGAATCGGATGTGAAGATATCTCTCAGGCATCTCTGCCTTTGCAATGACCTCGTCATTACAACAGTCGATGAAAATGAATTTCCTGGAAACGATTTAAAAGCTTCACTCGGAAGGCTGGAAGGTTTGGCTTAAGATAAAATAAATTAGCAAAAACAAAAGTCACGTACCAACAAGCTTGTAAACACGTTTGTCGAAATAATTAGTGAGGGGTACAATTTGTATTAGGATAATTTTTTTTAAAGAATCAAACAAGATAGGCATTGATAATTGTTTTTTTACCCTTCTATCTGGCAACCCCGAGCTCTTATACTCTGATGGTGCATTGTCTTTGAGTTGTGCGCCTTTTGGCGTCATCTGGTCCAACCCATGTGAGACTAGGCTCTAAGAAAAGCTGTCTCGGGTGTGGACCAATCAACTTCAAGGACAGTGCACATTATCAGAGTTATGTTTTTTGTTTGCATTATGACTGCAGGTATTGTGGTCTATGCAAACATGACTCCTTGTAAAAAAAGGTGTCAGTTTTGTTGCCAGATAGAAGGGTAAAAAAACAATTATCATATTTTTACTGGCAAATGAGGTTCCAAGATAGGCATTGAATGCTTTTGAAAAGCTGTAAATGGTCATGAAAAGCAACATACACCTTGTGCCAGAAGAATGACAGGTTTAGTCATCGCGTATTTCCCGCGATGACATTGAACCGAAACATGAAGACCGACAAAGGAAAATCGAACAAGAGATGAAAAGAGCACCGAGAGGGCACGGGGAGATGCACGATTTGGAATTACACTTTAGAGACTGAAAGAGGGACGCATGGCTCGGGGAACAAAAGCCAATTCGGAGACATCGCCGCTGTGACTGTTAAGGAAATGTAAGTGGGCTTATTCTTAGGTTTTTTCGGTAAAGTCACGTAGGTAAAAAATTCAAATTAATAACAGTAAAATAAAAATGAAATAAAAATCACGACGTTTCGGAGGCAACACAAGCTTCCGTCTTCAGGTGGAACCGTCACAGCACGATAGCTGTATCAAGATAGCTGTATCAAGTAAATGTGTTTACTTGTGTTGCCTCCAAAACGTCGTGATTTTTATTTTACTTTTATTTTACTTTTATTAATTTTAATTTTTTACCTACGTGACTTTACCGAAAAAAACCTAAGAATATGAATACTTGCAGTCACGAAAGCTTCAAATCTAGAAGTAAGTGGGCTTTGGAAGGACGCGTCCCTGGAAGGGATGGAATGGCGGCTGATGGATGAAACCGGTTACAGAATGACAGGCGAAAGATGGAACGAACTTTTTCCCATCGTCGGATGACCACGACGTAAACGGAGCGACGAGGCCGGCTCGCTCGTGGCAGCGAGATGGATTGGGAAACATCGCAGGTTTGCGAGGGACGGCAATGGGAGGTGATCATTTAGTGGTAGATACACAATGGCAGGTGATCATGACAATGAGAGGCGCTGCATGCCCTTGCATGGGGAATCACAAACTGAACAAAATGGTTCGATAAATAAATAAACAGATAAGTCGTTTCGATTTAAATCTTTCGTGACTGCAGGGATTCATCGTCTTGGTTCTTTCGGTAAAGTCACGTAGAAGGGAAATAATAAAATAATAAAAATAAAACATAATAAAATAATTCTCACGACGTTTCGGCCACAACGCAAGCAGCCGTCGTGTAATAAGTTTGAAAAGAGCGTCGTTATTTTTCTTTGTTTCTGTCCAAGCTCTGGTCAGCTCCATTAGACATCAAAACAACTCTTAAAGGGTAATGCCCTGCCTGTTTCACTGTAATATCCACACACTGGGCAACTCCATTGGGGTTCATCGTAGATCAAACCCATATATTCTACCCCTACAATTGCAGGCTGCGGTGAGCTCGTAAATGGTGCGGTATAAAAACGGGCCACACAACAACAAACAGTCAGAGTGGAAACTCTTTCATAATTGAGTTTTCTGCGTGAAACAATAACAGGATATCTGAAAATGAAGCCTTCCCGTCACGATATCGGCCCCTGCGTATCATAAACATTCTTACCCCTCTCGTGTCGCCAAACGAACACAACAATATCACTTAAAAGCCATGGAACCCCCCTCATTGAATTCCACCTGGGACCAGCGTTGCAGCACCGTATCTCAGGTGGCAAGATAAGACACTGGGAAGATCGGATTGACCAATTTGTAAATGTTCTATCGTGGCACGTAAAACGCGAGTGCAGATTGTTTTCTGATAGCGGCTCGGCAAGACTCTTATCGGGGTTCTTCGCTAAACTTGCCGAAGCGAACGAGACGATTGCCAACTGGCGCAGTGTTTGCCGAATAACCGCGTAGAATAGTCGCGTTTGGAACATTTTTTTTAGAGGTTAATTTTATTTTGGTGCTGCGCTTTCGAAGCGTCGTCGCCGCTTCTCTCTCGCGCACCCGCACACAAAGCAAAGTTATATTTAAACAAGTTTGTCTCCTGAACTGGCCCACACGCATGCACGCATGGTTGTAAATCACCGGGACTCATTCTGTGTCAGCTCGCAAATTGAACCTAAATTTGGCCACTCGCATGCTTTGCAAATTTAGCAGCAGCAGCATGAAGAGCGTTGGGAGTGCTCATGATTGTGGCTGTTTTTGTTTGTTTGTCTTATAGCCCTTCCTGTGTACAATACATAATTTACAGACGTGGCTTCACCTTCTAGCCACCACACAATGGCTCGTTGTCGGCCCAAGGAACCCCTCGGAGCCCCCGTAGCTATTCCGCTGGGACATACCAACGGCCAGACTTTAACAATCTGCCTCTAAGTGAACTCTGCTGTCCACAAAATCTGGCAGCTCAGTCGCTGGCTTTAAAAGAGGGATTGCCCTAAGCAAGTGTTCAGCTCAAACATCAAATGGCGCCAACAGGGCCAGCTTTGCCAGGCAGATTGCGCACGTGATGATTTGGTTGAGCAGTACACGCAGGAGTGTGTGCGTGTGTGTGACCGCTCCGTGTCTGTTGTGCATGTCAAGGACTTCCCAAACTCAAATGCTCACAACAACAACACAAACAACCACAATCCTATGTTGTCGTTGTTTTTCTTTCTAACCAAGCGTGCATATCAATGACGAGGTGATATTTTTCTTCTTGGTTCTTTCGGTAAAGTCACGTAGAAGGGAAATAATAAAATAATAAAAATACAACAATTCTCACGACGTTTCGGCTACAACGCAAGCAGCCGTCCTCAGGTGAAGAACAGGTCTGTCGGAAAGACAGCGTCTGAATGAACACCACCAGGCTTGGCAGCGTATATTCAAGCTGGGTTGGAGGGGGAAGAGCGAAAGAACCAAGAAGATGAATCCCTGCAGTCACGAAAGCTTTAAATCGAAAAAGGAAACGGACAAAAATTTCATAAAATCTGGAGCGCGAGGAACGAAGAGGTGTTGAAGCCCCGAGCGAGGTGACGCACGCGGTCCAGCGTGGATCAATCGAGGCTCTTGCGATGTTCGTCATAAGGTCGTAATGTCATCACGGTGTGCGTGTGCGTGCCGGGTTTCATCGTAAACAGATGC